TCTACTTTTAAACATATATTTATATATATGAATGTGTTATATATGCATACATATATAAATTTTTTGAAAACTCAAACATAAATTCTACAGAGATTATTTCACGACTTCATAGAAAAACGGCTTTGTTTGTATATGGTCTGTGGTTGATACGAGGACTGCTGTACTTGAATACTAACATATTCAGTGTATTACAGATTGTTATGTTGTTATAGACCTACAAAGTCATGAATATTAATTAACATTTTTGTTGCATGCAATTTCGCAATAGAAACGACATCTGTATTTATAATGATTAACATACCGGAAATTAGTGATTAAGAAGACAGCGATCTAATGGGATTATGCTGACGTCATTGTAAAGATTCGAAAGCCATGTGCTGCTAGTAGGTGATATGATGAGTGGTCAATTCCAGCCTTTTCCTTAACACTGCTGGTTTCCTATAGTGGTAAAATTAGTAATACTATAATACATACCGTACATTTCATTCGACTTAACAATATACAATATTTATTTAATTCACTTTTGCATCAGTGGCACACATCAGACAATACCTATTGGTGCATCCAGAAAAAAAATGTAAAGAAATTGATAACTATTCTATACTATATTTACACTAAACTATTATACTGTTTACGCTATTAAAAAAAGCACTTAAAATTGTCATCCCATGTAAATAAGGAGTGGGTGGGGTGGAAATGTTTAACATCAAGACAGACATGAAAACAATTCCCTAGCTTTTTCAATTCAAAAATAAATCATTGACCAAGTTAAACTTCCCGACTACTATATTCTTTTCAATAAATAGACGAGGAATAAATCTAAAGCTATTGGGCAATCCTGTTTTTAATACACTTTTTATTATATAAGAACGAGTAAAATTTTCCTTAGGCTCAGTGTTGTTATTGTTTTGCAAATTCATGCTCAAATGTTCTTATTTTGTTCTTAGTTTTACACACTTTACAAACGTGGAAAATTATTATTGTACAGCAGTATATTACTGTACTATGTTGATTTATGGAGGCCTATTACATAAATCACACCTGTGCAAATAAGGTACGGATAAGATATGGTGGGTTTTTTTCTATTTTATATACAAACCTCATTTGACATTTTACCTCAGCCTCAATTTCGTATTTTGTTCTTAATTGTTTGGCAATTTCAGCCTGTGTTACAGTATTATACAGTATTTAAAAAAAAAAGTGTAGGGGCCTACTGTATAACATATCAGTACACTAAACACCGTACTTGCAGTCATCTTTCTTTCAGGGTGAATTTTAAATATTGTCAATCAAGAAAAAAATACTGTATATTCGATTCGTATAAACCCCTCTGGTTCTGTCTAGAGCTATTTCTAAGGCTTTAAATCAATGGTGTGTATGTCTTGTCTTGTCGAGTCAATCACCAAGCTTTAACACCAAGTTTCATTGTGGCCATAAGTATGAAATATTTTCGCCGGGGCATACGTAAACGATAAAGTTTATTCTCCGGTCGTAAATAAGGTAGACTTTTATTACAGTTAAATTCATGGAACATGAACAAATTGTTTGAAAGTAATTTGATTGATCCAGTGTTCACGAGGAATTAGCCAATATTTACATTTACTTTAATAG